TAGTGCAATTTACACATATGAGTATGACTAGGGCGGCAGGACAAGCCCATGAAGGTATTTGAGAGTGACACCCGCATCAGATGAGGAACTTGAGCTTGCCTCATCAGCTTCGAAACCTTTATCCACAAACAGCTGTGCAGAAGGACTGTTATTGCAGCGCCGTTTTCTGTTGTCCTGAGCCGGAACACTCGGATGCTATCATTTTGTCCGAGTCAGTGGAGCGGAAGTTTTCAGCACCAGATATGCAGGCAGGTTGGGCAAGATTGTCGGGACCGCATCAGGAGCAAGCGTCGGCGTTCCCTTACTTCAACACTGTTGATAATATGGACGTAATCTTTCACAATAAAATGAAGATTAAAATGTAAATCACAGCACGATCGACGACAAGCCTGTCAAGTCAATAGAGGTTCGCTCCCAAAAATCTTCCTCTTTCATCGATCTTCATCTTTCGGGGCCTTAAAAAGGGATACCTTGCGACTTTGTTGCACAAGCATCTTTCGGGGCCTTAAAAAGGGATAACTTGCGAATTTGTTGCACAAGAGGATATCCCGTTGTGCAACCTGGCATGTAACAGTGCTTTAGATGCCATTCTTTTTTTTTTTTGTCATTAAGTGAGCAGAAGCGAGATGGCGGCAATGCCGTAAAGCCACGTGAGCAAACCAAACTGAAAGATTGGTTGATGGCTGCGCCACTGCTACTTTCCCCGCAAGCGTGGACGACTGCAAGCAAAGGAAGAGCGTGCCGGTCGCACCACTCAAAAGTTCTAGTATGATCTAGCTCTGCAGAGGTCATTTTTTGTTTTCTTTTTGCTCGCTTCAATTAACGGAAGAGGGCGCCAAATCGCAACCGTGCAAAGACGGCACAGAATCACGGCGAAATTCGGGGTGCCCTTATTAAGTGTAGAAATAAAAAAATCTGATTTCTGGCGACCAAACTGGGAACGTGCCTATTATGCGAGTAAATACAGTATAGGACATAAGTGTGAGGCACGCCATATGGACTACCGTATTTACTCGATTCTACCGCGCCCTCGATTGTAACGCGCACCCGATTTCCACCGCGAAAAAAAAAAAAAAAAAACGTAAGACATCGATTGCAACGCGCACCCATTTTTTTTCGCTGGCCCGCTCGATCACACCACTCGAAAAAAACGATTCCTTTCGGGATTGTCTTCCATCTAAATATGAGGTACGGGCGAAGCTTGTGCCCATCTGACGTGTAACAGAGCATTGCCGTCACTGTAGTTTTACCGTGGACCGATGTCAGCACGCGAACTTGCTTTGCCCCCTTCTTCTCGACAGTTGTGGTGCCAGGCATGTCGAAGTAAAGAGGCGTCTGATCGGCATTCCAGATTTGCCCAAGCAGGTAGCCGTTGTTGCGCCGCAAGTTTAGGACGAACCTCTGAAAACTGTAAAGCTTTTCATCGTACTTCTCCGCAAAAGTTTTCGCATATGCATGTTTCCCTTCGAAGGGAAGAGCCTTTCCTCTTCATATAGTTAATTAGCCAGCACCTGCTCGCTTTAAACTGGCTCCGCATTACACTTTTTTCTAAGACTAATTGCATAGCCCGCACTTGGAGCAGTTCTGTCGTCACGGGCCGCTGTGCCGCTCGCTCCTCAAGCACATACTCGCGGAGCAGCTCTTTAATTTGCAGAAACCGACCCTGCTGTGGTTCACTGAAGCCTTTGCGTGAAGCTTTGCTGTCGACAATCTTCTGCTTTTGTTTCCGCCGGTCCCGCACGCACGTTTCGGGAACGACCGCGATGCGGCCCGACTTCCGTCTGTTTCTGCACACGCGATGACTTTTCTTTTAAAAGCGGCATCGTGGTGCACTTGAGTTTTTGGAGTAGGCCCTTTCACGTCGTCGATGCTAATGCACTACTAGATGACGAACTCCTCAGCACACGTACGAAGTGCCGCACATGGTAAACACATAGGCAGAAATAGCCGACGCACCATGCCGACGCACGTAGGGGGCGGCCATTTTGGATTTGCGATGGCAATAGATTGACCGTAATTTTTTGTTCGTACTCGATTCTAACGCGCATGCGATTTATGAACTCGCTTAACCGGAAAAAAGGTGCGCGTTAGATTCGAGTAATTACGGTAATTTTTTTACCACCTGGATTCTCTAAAAGTGAACCCAAATCTGAGCAGACGGGTGTGTGTATAAATTTTTTCCAGTGTTAAAATGGCACACAGCGACTCAGGTTCAATCATCTCTATGTAGTTTCATAAGAGATAATCTATCTACCGAAGAGTCAGAATTTACTTGACAGAAATATCTCGGACAAGATCCTACAATGAAAGGTTATTCAAAGCACAATGAAAGCTCGTACCATAAATATCAGCGCCGCAGTTAGACACATAACAAGAATGCAAACCTTGGCTTACAGCTGAGTTGCTAAAATTCACACAATATTTAATACTTGTCATGTTTAGAACAGCTCCAAGTGTACTTTAGTATGTGCTTCAACTAAAGCACGGCACCTACGTGATCCTAGTACTGGCAAGCGTCCGAACTGACCTTATTGCAATGCATATACAGCCGAGAAAGGCCAAATGTGTCTCTAGATCGTGCTAAGGCAACACACAAGCAATTAAACTTGTGCTAACAGAGTGGGATGAACCCCCTGACGTACACGCACATGCTAGCCTTATGTGGCTAGCAACCGATGCAGTGAGCAATGAACACTGAGAGTACTTCTGCCACCAGGCAGTGACTCTGCTCGATCTAAGGGCGATGAATATACCTCTGTGGCATGATTACAATGAAGTGTAGCGCTGAGTGCTCTTCCACAGCGCAAAAATGTCGCAGCATAAAGGCTGTGCGTGATAAAGAAAAAAAGACCTCTGCTGTGGCAGTCACTTTTTGAAAAATTCGATATTATTTGTACAATCAGGTGATTAGGTCGGGAGTCTCCGAGACAATTCCGGAGAATTGGCAGGCATGTTGTTATTATTCTCAGAAGTAACCTAGGTCATATGTCACAAGCCACGGGTGAGCCGTCATAGCAAGTGGTTTCACATGCACTGTGTTTGGGGTCTTAGTTTTTTGGAGGCATATTAAATTGAGAGGTGGCAGAGTGCTTGTTGCCAGCACTCTTGAAGGAGTGGCGTTATAAAATTTGTTGTGTGCAGATTCTGTATCTGTGGCAAAGATTTCTTGTTGTTCTAGGAAGCATGATACATACTCCACAATTCGTGTATCCTTACAAAACAATTTGACATCACATTATTTATATGAACGACTTTGGGTTTCAGTGTCGGGACGCTGTGTCAGTAGCTTGAACACATGAGCCTACAAAGTCACATGTGAGCAACCATGTCTTCAAAGCTTGCTGAAATTCTTGAAAGGAGAATAGTATCAGCATGCACGGCATTCTGTTATACACGGAGATATTTCAAAAGTACTGCATCACCTGACAACAGTAACGACATTTTGTGATCCTTGGTGCAGTCACAATTATAGGTGCACTAGTTTTTGGTGAGAAAAAAAATGATTAAAAAAACAGCGCAATCTAAACTTCATTGCCGAGAGTTTGCACCAGGACTAGAATAGTTTTCTACGACAATTCTATGCTTGGCTGGTTCATCTTAGCACCACCACCTACACGATAACCTGCAGTGCCCAGCAGAAGTAACCCATGCTATGAAGAAGCAAAAAAGTGCACAAACCTGAATTCTCTGGTCGCTTTCGAAGCTTTCCAGTGACAATGCAAAGCACTTTGCAAAATGCGAGCGAGCTTAAGTACTTCAGAAACACTCTGAGAGAAAAAAAAATAATGAGTGTAGGTTTACAGCTGATGCTCTCTGGGCTCGCCTAGTGCAGGTGGAGCTGTCGGTCACAGCTTATTGTAAGTCACCCTGATATGGTCTGATGTTCCTAAAACTTTTGTTGCACTTCCTACACAGTGACATCGGTGTCAGTCACACCAGCAATGGTTCTCAATCACAAGAATGAGCTTTAGACAAACTTCACAACCGAATTAGGATATATTCTAAATGATTGCTCTGTCAAACACTTTGTGCTAACTGTTACAGACAGTGCTGTGTGTGTGTGTGTCTTTCTAGATGTCCCATCTTTCTTGCGCTGATAAATCAGTGCTAACTGTCCTTGCACAAAAGAAGATGCGTACAGCAGGTTTTTTATAACCTCAAAATTTGGTGACACGACCCCTTTCATACTGCCAGTGTTGCGACCGTGTCATTAGCTACAGAGCGAGATCTGTTTGTGCCCTTGTCACACAAAGCTCTATAATAATTAGTGAGTTATGTTTACTGCAACCTAAACAACAAATATAAAACTATGATTTTTAACTTGATATGCGAACAGCACAACTTAGAAGTAGTTACAGTGTAACTAGGAAGCAAAGAAATAAGGACAGGAAAAAGCGCGGACTTTCAGCAATGATTAATTAGCGGCGTGGTGTATATATATAGGCAAAAAAGGAGAGAATAGGCATGCGTAGAAGGGTGCAGTTTACAACGACTGCAAAACAGTGTCAGAATGCCCATTCTCTCCTTTTTTTGGCCTATATAAATACACCACTCCGCTATTAAATCATTGTTGAAAGTCAGCGCTCTTTTCTGTCCTTATTTCTTTGCTTCTGTGGTAACACTGTAACTACTTTTAAGTTACGCTGTTAATATATTCAGTTATGACCTACTAACTTGCCAAAGTTTCAAGGCTTCATATAATTTTTACCACCTTCAGTCAACATAATGCACTACTGTTGTGACCAAAACTTTGCATTTTGGCTGGAACTATGACCTTTATAATGAGTGTAATTTTGGCAAAAGGAAGTATGCAGGGCAATATTTGTTCACGTTATCTCGAGAGGGTACAATAGATAATATTCCTGTACCGGACTAGTTCTCCACAGAAGTTTGGTAAAAGTGGTACTGCCTTGCGTAAAAATCTACATTAATATAAGTGCACAGTGAGCCCCATCTAGAGCATTTTGAATATATATCTTTCAGTTGGCGAAATCTCATACCTGCTATAATCAAAGACATCACTGAGGCGCTGTGGTGGCTTTGCAAGGGTCACTTCCTCAGGCAGGCGCACAACGGGGAAGCCAAACCAGTAGCAGAAAGTGTACTTCTTCAGGTCGACGTAGATAAGCACCACAAAGCGGTTCAGGAGGCTCGGGTCTTTCAAGGCCCTGCCGTCACACGCAGCAGCCCATGCACGCTCGCCCGATGCACGCAACAGTGCGGACTTGTCTATCTGCTTCATGTTGGCCAAGCTGTTGGGAAGGTAGAGTAGACCGTGCAGTGGGCACGAATCTGCAAAGCAAAAGAGTCTGAGTGATGAATTTTAGTACTTGATTGGTTCATCTGTGGGTTTACAGTTTCAGATAACGCTGACCCCCTAGGGCTCAGTAACATGCGACATCACACACAGCACATGGGCCTTTATCATTTCCCCTCGTCCAAAATACGACTGCTGTAGCTCACATCGAACCTGCCTTTCCAGTCAGCAGCTGAACATGATGACCACCGGCCTAACATGGTGGCTTCATTTTAATGTGGTATAGTCGAGGTGCTCGTTTTGCAGAAACTATCATATCGTCATGGTTTATTATGAGCTAAAAGAACAGCATTGTCTGAGAGTGAAACTTGAAGATAAATGAAGTGTCAATGTGTCTTACTTCTGCTATATAATAGTGGCAACGAAGATGGGATTGGTCCCCGGAAGGGTACCAACGATATTTAAGGGACCAACAACTGCCCTGAACTTGAAATGAGATGAGTGCATGAATGAAAAGATTGTCCTTCATAGTGACTTAAACCATACCTGTTTTATTTTTTCCCGTCAAAAGCGGAGTTATATCTTTATTTCTATCGCGAAAATAGCCTGTGGTGTTACCTGGTAGCAAAAACTTCAATTATCCAATGTGCCCTGTTATGTGATCATAAACTAGTGTACACGGTCAACAATTTCCCTGTTCGAAATTAAATATTGTTTGCTTCTTTATAGTAAAAGATATTACTTCATCAAAATGTATATATAGGCCTTCGTTAGCAGTACACATTAAAGCGGCACTGCCTTCGCATGACGTAATCATCCCATGCTCGTCAGCGCAACTTGAGCAACTTTTCTGCGTGCTCATGAAACCGTGCACACAGTTTCCAAGTCGCTAAGCTTTTGGAGCGATGTAGTTTTTCTATACACACCTTGTCTAAGAAATGATGTGTATTGCTAGCTGGCATGGCCGCGCGCACATGCGCAGTGACCTTTTAAGAGACCTGGCTTGGCTCGTGTATCGAGAGAGTAACAACGACGGGACAAGCCATCTATGACACAGGCGTCACAACCTTTGGCGCAGGCGCATGCAACACGGTACAAATACCGAGAAGCTGCATAAAGCCACATCGTGCAATTCTAACGGCTTATTTTAAAAAATTGCTCGAAATGAAGGTAGTTAAGCATAGTTACAGGAAGTCCTGCGAAAGCAGAACAACGACAGCATCAAGGTCGCCAGGAAGGCTACCGGATTCGCAATTAATTTTAAGCTTTGCTGGATGAAAGGGCTCATCTATGTTCAGAGCCTTTTAGATAAAAATATACTGCTAATAAAATGACTATGTGCTAGTGGGATTAACTACGGCAGCTATGAACTGTTCAGTGATACTGAACAAAAATTGGAAAAATTTACGAAACTTCGTAGTTCGACTCGGAACATAGACTAACAGCCGGAGGCCGAAGGGGGCGCGAGCCCTCCCACCAAGTAAAGTTGGGGGAGCTGAGCCCCTCCACTTTTGAAAGTGGTCACTCTTGGCTGCACGCTGGGGGAACCATCAGGCCAAGTTTTTCGTCACAACAGTCATCATTCAATTATGCTTTTACAGGAGAATGAAACTGTTTCGAGGCTATGTTACGAGACGAAATTTTCCCAACATTTTTCCTGTGATAATTATTCTTAAAGGCTCTTTGCAGTGCGAGTTGCCTCTGCAAAGCATTCACGTCTTGTGCTGTAGTATTGCTAAGCAGGCAAGCGCTGAACATATTACATCACTTGTTCATGCTTTTATTCTGCTGTGACTTGTTGATGCAGTTATGGATTGAAACGAGCGAACTTTTTAAAGACCGGTCAAAACATTGGCTGCTTATGGAAAATCATTCTCTTCGAAAATGATACATCATCACTGCTGTTCTGTCGAAGCTGTTACGAGCAGATGAGTGTGACGAACCGTTTTTGATGTTTAGGTTTTTATGCACTGAAATGCCAAAAAATGTTTCCGCCTTAGTCACTGATAAACCTGATCGGCCTTGCTTATGGTAACTTGGAGCCATAGCGGCAGTTGGCAAAGTGGACACGAATAAAGCAGTGGACTCGAGCTCAGTAGGAAGCTCTCCGTTTAAGCTTGCCCCACAACTTGAACAACCGCACCAGTGAGAAGGTAAAAGACCATGGTTTTTAGCACTATGTAGGCTTAGTTAAGAGTCGAGCTAGATGGTTTTAACTGAACTTGAATTGTCTTTTACAGCTCAAAATACGCCACAGAAAGCAAAGAAGCACACACGTACAGTGCTGGTTATTTCCCTCTATTCCTCTTTCTCTCAGCAAGCATGAGCTCACAAAGATGTATACGCACATAATCTACTTAACAATGTTATGCTGCTAGCAGAAATATTTTATACTCATAATCCATCTCGCCAGCTGCTATAAGTAGCCACTACTTATGCGATTGGCAGCTAGCCTCCTTGAATTACATTTAGAAGATGCTCTCCAGCTTCGTGACATTATTTAAAAAGCAGGCGATTTTGTGGCACACAGAAAATTTTAAATGCCGCAGAACCAATTGCAAACAATATGTAACGTTGTTTATTCAAAAATAGATACATTTTTTATGAATACATTTTTCGCATGTCGAATGAACAATAAGAGGTCCCAAAGTAAAAACTGTCAGGGGGACCTTCTAACAAAAAGTAAAAAGAGGATTAGCTTTTTAGTCAGCAAACAGCGATCAAATCACAGCAATATTTAAAAGTTAATGGTGCAAAAACGTAGGGCCATATGAGCAATAGTGACAATGTGCTTGAAACAGAGAAACCCAAAAGAAAACATTCAAGTCATAAGTCATTTAACAATAAGACCTTCAAGCGCTTACTAAAGGAGTACATTGAGCATGATTTGAGATTGACAGGCAGCATGTTCCACAGTGTTATGCATGAAAATCTTGCCGTCATTTGACCATAGTTGGTACATACTTTAGGTAGAAGTAGATTACGGTTAGCTGAAAACCTCGTGTTGTTAGCATTTACAAAAGTAACTCCCGAGAAACTGGAAATGTGTAATTCATTTTTAGGGATACGAAACATGATCATTAGAATTTTGTAGTTAAAGAGTTTATGCAGAGGTAAATTGTTCATGTTGCTAAAAAGGGGGGCTGATGGTGATGAAAATGGTTTCAAAGTAATGAGTCTCAAAGCTTGCTTCTGTAATCGTTCTAGATTATTTACATGTGACCAATATCTATTTCCCCACGATGATACGCAGTATGACAGGTGACTATGAATGAATGCGTAATATAAAGATAAAAAGATTTCAGTGGAGAAGTAAGGTCGTGTTTTGATGATCACGTGAATACCGAAAGACACCTTTTGAATTAAGGCCTGCGAGTGCTCACTGAACTTCAAATGTTTATCGAATACCACACCAAGAAATTTAGTAGATGAACATGCATGAATGAAGTGTCCATCAAGCGTCACTGCTAATGAAGCCATGTTTCGAAACAACTGCGGGCAATGGAATACCATGAAATTAGTCTTTGATGGATTGATGAGTCACAGATTCGATACACACCATGAATGAACGTTATTTAAGGGGAGATGCGGGTCGAAAAGTCGCGGTTTTCCGGAAAATTTTCGCTTTTTTTTTTTCCGGCTGTATTGGCATCCTTGGACTATAATCTATTACTTCTGAAAATATCAAGCTGAAGTTCGCACGAGAAATTATCAAAACATGCTTCCAAGTGGGCAGCGGTGACGCGAGAAATGCGCGAAAGTCGCGAAAAATGGCGAAGTTCGTTTCGTCCTGTCGTGAAAACGACGCGTTGGCCGCCATTTGCAATCGTGCACGCATGCTGCGAAGGCCGTATCCTTCATAATCCACTAGTAGCCAGTCTCGTGCCTTCACGCAGAATAAACAAAAAACGAGAAAAACAACGCGTACGTCACGCGTTTTGAATATCGCGGCACACAGCGCGAGGCCGCCATTGGACGGCGGTGCGCTTCACGCTCCTCCCCCTCCTATCTCTCCGGCAAAAGAGCGAAGCCTCGGACGTCGCGATCGAGTTTTTCTGCGTTTCTCTGCATTTTTGCGTCATGGCAAGCCCGAAGAAGTGCAGTTCAGATAATCGAAAGTTCAGAACTCGCCACAAGTATCCAGGGAAACGGCGTCGGACGCTTCGCAAAGCGACAGCGAACGACGATGTCGCCCCCGACCAACGCCCCGACGCTCCGACTTCGGATAGGCCTAACACCGTCACCGAACCCTGCGACAGTGGTTGTGAAATAGCCGCTGCCGTGGAATTCGTCAGTGCATCCCAAAGGAAGATTGGATTCTTCGAGAGTGAACGTAGACGGGTAGATGCTGCTACTGCGAACATGCTGCTTTGCGAAATCGACGCGCTGACGGCACTTGTGGCGGGTGCGCAATGCCCAACCTGCCGCGAACGGAAGCTCGGCGTGCGAGAGGCAGCTGGAAAGCGCAAAGGACTTTCGGCATTCCTCGAACTGTGCTGTCAAAATTCTGATTGCCCTGAATCTGCACTTTCGTTCATGCACACCTCGAGACGTACTGCTTCGGCCGGGGACCAAGGAACAAGCGCTCGTTTTGACAGCGGCAGCTCGCGTGACAGCTTTGCTGTAAACGTGAAGGCAGTTCTGGCAGCACGCGCTATAGGCGCAGGCCACGACCAACTTTCACGATTTTGTGCTATTCTCGGTCTTCCGAGCCCGATGCATCACAAGACATTCAACGGCATTAGCAAGAAGCTCCATGGTGCGGCGATGACGGCAGTGAGCAAAAACTTGCACCAGGCACGAAACATCACGAAGGACGCAGTCGGCGGCAGAGATGTGCCAGTCATGTTTGATGGCACCTGGCAGAAAAGAGGTCATAAAAGCCACAATGGAGTGGGCACAGTCGTGTCCCTGGACACGGGGCTCTGCCTCGATTTTGAAGTTCTTTCGAACTACTGCCATGCTTGCAGTATACACAGGGACCTTGGGGAGGATGAAGAGATATGGCGAGCTTTTCATCTTCCAGTTTGCCAAA